ACATTTACTAAAATTGTGTTTATTTGTGTGTCTGTGTCCTGGACTAAAAGAGTTACTTTTTTATGTTAAAAACCATTCCCCAGGGCCAGGTATATTACATAAATATTAAACTGTATCGATAAGGAAATAAATAAGTTGCAAGGTAAGAGTATTGAACAATGCTGTAAACACTGTGTTTTGATTTTTCATTTTTATGCTTTACCAAAACACATAAGTGGAGAGAAAGATTGAAAGTCAAAAAACAGTTATTGAGGAGCCTGTCTTTATTTCACCTTCAAAACAACCTTCCAGAAGGGTTATTTGAATTTGTACAGATAAGACAATTAGGTAATTTATTCAAAATTATTTAGGGACTAAGTAGTAATATTGGATGTCGAGTAGTTATTGTGTCGTTCTTGACACTGTATTTCTTTGACATTGCATTCTTTCCTATTTATTTAGAACATCATATTTATGTAGAATTTGTTCATCAGATCTTTTTTTGTAGTTTCCTGTGGATTGGTCAAATTATCGCTCTGTTTGATGAAAATAGTGCATGCTCCTTCTCCCTCCTGCTTTTTTCCTTTCCTCCAACTCCCATTGCCCCTTCAGGGATGAGGCACAGTTACTTCCTGGGGCCAAATGGAATCCTGCTGTGCGTGAACACAGGAAAGAAGCTGTGCTTCTTCCTTTCCTCGCTCCCTCTCCTGAATAAATCCTGGCTGCTCCGGGAGTGTTTATTCAGGCGAGCGTTTCCACCCCACAGGGGAGAAAACCAGGCTCATTAAATCCTGAATAGTACTTAGTATTGCTTGGATAAATTTTTTAAAAAGAAGATTTAGTTTTGAATATTAGAAAAAAATGTATGAACTGGCACATGAAATCATCTCCTCAGGGAAGTGTTGAAATCCATAAAATTTAACTTACAAATTTTAGGAAATACGCCAAACAGGTAGATGCTGGCTGAAAAATGAAGTCCATCTCTAAATAAGATCTATTCCCATTTCCAGTGATTTTATAATTCATCCCTTATTTCTGAACTTAAAGTATATATTTGAGTCATCTTCTCCACCAGAGATTCTGGTTACAATTGCAAGTTCACCCTGACGCCCAGACTGTTTTCTCATGTAAAGACAGCAAGCTTCCTTGCAATGCAGGATGAGATTGAACTCTCACTGAAATGTTCAGTGCTTATTGTTATAATTACTTCATTTCAAAATAATATGCTTTTTGTTATCTTTTAAATAACCAAGATATCAAATATAGTCCACTAGCTGTCATAGAGCTACACTTGTGAAATAAATGCACAAAATCACCTTGACAAATCTCAACAATACTCCCACCTTTTTTTTTTTTTTTTTTTTTTTCTGCTGAAGTGAAGTTGCGTGAACACAGCTCACTGCAGGGTCAACCTCCTGGGCTCAAGTGGTCTTCCAGCCTCAGCCTCCTGAGTATCTGGGACTACAGGCACACACTACCACCCTTGGCTAATTTTTTTTTTAATTACTATTTTCTGTAGAGACGGGGTCTCATTATATTGCCCAGGCTGGTCTCCAGCTCCTGGGCTCAAACGATCCTCATATCTCAGCCTCCCAAAGTGCTGGGATTATAGGCTTTAGCACACTGTGCCTAGCCAATCCTTCGCTTTTGACTACTGAAAAGAGCTGGTAGTCAACAGCAATTATTTCAACAAGATTTTGGTCGGATTTCTAACCTTCATAAAAAAAAATTTCTAAGAAACTTCCTTCCTAGAGTTTTCTTTAAAGTCTATTTTTTAAAAAAAATTATAAGAACAAATATGTTTTAAGGTGTCTTCTTTTTCTTTAATACTTTTTAATTTTATTTATAGTCTTATGTAACATCATTCTATCTGAAGATGATTTGTCATCGGTGTAGTCACTCATGATTTTGGAGTTTTTATTCGTCATGTAATTTTTAAGTAGCTTTTAATTCATCTTCATAATACTTGAAGAATTCTCACACATGACTTTTCTTCCAGAAAGACTCAGGGCCCAAATGGAATTAAATAGTTAAAAATTAAAGTCTGTGATAAATTTTATTTTGTTTATTATGAATGCTATCAATTGCTTAATGTTTAAATGATATGTAGGTTATAAATATACAAACAATTTCATAAATATTATTATTATATTACAACTGTATCTGTATTTTTCTGCCTTAAATTATTATTTAGTATTTAGAAACATGTGCTGGTTCAAAATGTTTTAATAAAATATTGAGCTAATAATCTTCCTGTGATAATTATATTAATTATCAATGCTTTCCCCTCTTTTAACTATTTTGAAGTTTCTTCACAACTGTTTCTATACATAGAGCTAGAATTTTTCATAATCTTGAAATATTAGGTATAATTTACATTCTATATGACTAATACAATTTTATCATATAAAGCAGAAAAGAAAATTTCACTCCACATTACATCTAGAATGTTAACTACTACTTAAAAGTGAATATTAAGATATTACAAATTAATGTAAATGGCACACAGTCATGTTAATATCAGTGCTACCATGCTTTTAGATATGTTGTTAGCCTATGCAATCACATTAATGTCAATTATGCACAAATTCAAGGTTACCAGGAAAATATTATTGAAGTTGGCATTTGGTTATTTTTGACTTTCCAAAAACTGAAATTGCACCTGAAAAGCAGATTTTGGCCAGAGAGCAGATAGCAGAATATTGAGGCCAAATCCAAAACTGGATGCAACAGAAGTAATTTTATTAATCAGTAAGAAGGGGTAGTCAACACAATGGAAATTCTCATGTATAAAACTACTGACAAAAATGTTAAATGTTACTAGTTTGGAATGCAGAATAATAACATGTTTTACTGGCTTTATAATGGATACAACCTAAGTTTGATGATGTCCTTTTTTTTAGAGACAGAGTCTGGCTCTGTCACCCAAGCTGAAGGCACCATCATAGCTCACTGCAGCCTTGAACTACTGGGCTCAAATGATCCTTCTGCAGCAGCCTCCCAAGTAGCTAAGACTACAAGCACATGCCACTGTACCGGCTAATTTTTTGTAGATACAGAGTATCACTTTATTGCTCAGCCTGTTCTCAGACTCCTGGCTTCAAGCAATTCTCCTGCTTTGGTCTCCCAAAGGCTGTGATTACAGGTGTGAGCCACCATGCTCAGCCAATGATGTCATATTTTACTAATAGTTCAAAAATGCTATTAAAATACAAATCATGTAAATCAACTGCTCCCTTCATTTTGCAGCTTTTTAAAATAATGTTCTTCAAATTCAACCTCACTTCAAGCATTCCAGTGTTCATGTAACAAAACAAGTAACAAAAGTTATTAGAAGAAAATAGATCTTCTTAATGGGGAGAAGGAACTGGTAATTTCAATGCTCAAATATGTGTGTGTTGCCTACATACAGCAGATTCTCCAGCAATTAAAAATGGCCACTCAAAATGTCAGTAAACCAAGACATCTGTGTTTACGTAGTAAAACAAATTGGACTTCATAACAGCCATGATAAAAAAAAGGATATATATCATATCTATTGTGAATACTATCATGATGCCCTGGAGTTGCTTTCACTGACTCACAAAAGCCAATTGTTAAAAATCAGGAATTATGTGAGAAGCTGTTGAGGCACTGGTGACTTCAAATCAGTCATGGTGGGAATATATATACCATGATAATTGGAAAATCAGAGCTTCTTTTATTGTTCTTTTTGTAGGGGTGGTGATGTTTTAGCTTTCCTTTTCCACAAGCCATCTTACAAGTACACCCTTAACTACAACCTAAGGATTCAAATCAAACATTTAAAAAACTATCATAAACTTGACCTTGGGTCATATTTTCACAATTACATAAAATTCAGAGATGCCAATTTATATTTCACTTTTCTTTGTTTTTGTATTCACAATTTGTTCTCTTTGCCCCTCATCAGAAAATGCTAGTAGCTTTTCTGCTTTTAAGTATGAATTTCATGGGATTTTTCATGCTATAACAAAGGCGAAAAACAATTTTTGATCAAAAGAAAAACATTTTAATGCTCAATACAACAGATGTTCAAAGACAGCTTTGGAGTAAACATCAGTACCATCTGGATGACCTGCCACCATCTGCAGATGGGAAATTGCTACTTAATAGTTTCTGTGAGAAGGACAGTGTAAAATATTATAGTATTTAAAATTAAATGATGTTTGCATACCCAAAGTTGATATCATTTTCAGATGTTCTTCAATTCACTTGTTATAATGATTTATTCCAGACATTACTTGAAAGGAAATAAAAGTAAATTTTTTATAATATTTTTTTAGTTTATTAGTTACTGAAATTGACCATAAAGCCCCATATAATTTTATCTTTTTTTAAAAAAAGATGTAATATGTAAGTATATATGTCTTGGACAAACAAAACAAAAAAGACTCCATCAAGATCTCGAATGAAATGCATTATTTATGTAAACTGCTTCATAGTTTTCACAAAAATAACCCCTTGATCTAGGTTCTGAAAGTTGTAAAGAAAAAAGTGACTATTATAATCACAGTGAAAAAATTCTGTATTTTAGTGTTCAGTAGTCCCTTTTGCCACTTTTTATTTCTTATTTATTTTTCCATCTAACAAGAAATAGATTCTTAATGGTGAGGAAGAATGAGGAAGAATTTTTAAAATTGGAGGAATCTTACTGAGACTGTGAGACCACAAAAAATAACAAGGTATGCAGCAACAAATATAAACAAACTTATCATCTAACATTCTAACATTTAGACTTTCAGCTAGAACTGTTATTTTTTTTTTTTTTTATTTCTTTCTCCTTCTTCTTTTCTTTTCTTTCTTTCTTTCTTTTTTTTTGAGATAGGATCTTGCTCTGTCACTCAGGATGGCGTGCAGTGGCGTGATTACAGCTCACTACAGCCTCGACCTCCCAGGCTCAAGGGATCCTCCTTCTTCAGCCTCCCAAGTAGCTGGGACTACAAACTCATGCCACCACAACCAACTTATTTTTAATTTTTTTTGTAGAGATGGGGGCTTACCATGTTGTCCAGGCTGGTCTCAATCAAGCAGTCACCCACCTCTGCCTCCCAAAGTGCTGGGATTGTACTTGTGTGCCACTGTGTCTTATCCTAGATATGTTCTAATCTGTATGAAACTCTACCAACTCTTATTCAATAAGTATTTGAAAGATAAAGAACAATGAAAAATGGCAAATTTTAATTATTTGTATATGTGACTTATTATTTAGAAAAGCTGTTTACAGAAAGTAGTGAATCAATTACATTGTTAGTAGTTTCCAAATGATGATGAGCATTCAAAAACATCCAATCTCTGAACAACTGTTTCTCTATTAGTGCAAGAAATGACATGTCTGGCAATTTAAAAATGAACTTGGCACACTTCGTAATATATAATTAATGTGCTGTCAATATGTATATGTAATGTGATATACAGTGAGTATGCATGCACATATGTACAAAACAACCATAAAGTCACCATACTTAAGCTCTCTCTAAATTATTAGCACTTGAGAGACGATTCCACATAAGGGGTCCTCAGGCACCTCCCTTCCCTAATTCTTTACACATAGGAGTCTTTCAATAATCATTTTATGAAAGAAGGAAGCAATGAATAAACAGTGAATGAAAACCTATTCAAGGTTGGATTTTTACCATTAAAACCACAACCACACACACAAACTCTATATTACAAATTTTCCATACTATTTCATGTTTTAAAATGTGTCTCTAATTCAAAGATAGCATCAATGGCTGCATTCACAAAGCTGAATAACCAAAAAGTAGTCTGAAGAAAAAAATGATTCATTATGTTGTGCTTCGGTACCCTTACTTTAAAAAATATCTTACTCACAATTAGTTCCACTTACAACCAAGGCATCTAAAATACTATCTCTCAGTACTCTGGCCTCTAACCATTGTGAGAGAAGACAGGTAAACTACTCTTTTGCTGAAAAGTGTTATCCTCTATGGGATGAAAGAAATAGTGTTCAAACTCGAACAGTGCTTTCCTGTAAAGCCTGTGAAAACACTTTATGTCCTATAGGAACTGAATCAAAATCTCCTTTTGAGACCACAGGATATCATTCTGGTGAACTACAGTATCCCTTTCAGTGGATTATACACTCTTTAACCGCATTCTTCAGATACACAAAGGAAGCTGTCTGAGTAAGAGAATCCTTGTTTTTTCACGGACACATCCAAAAGACTCTTCTCCTCAAACGAGGCTGGAAGCATTTAGGTTAATCAGTCAGTAGGTCAATCTCTCAGGGTATTTTTACCTTATGCTAAAGTTGGTGACTATATTCAGATGATAAGAAAAAAAATCAAAATATGCTAACAGATTTAAGGAGATTAAATTAGAGATGCACAAATTTCAGAGACTTTTAAAAATTGTGGGTATTTTAGCAGTACTAATCTGCCTACGCTATTTCCCTTCTGAAGTCAAAATGGTTGTTCAGACCTCAAAACATTTACAGAGACTGTTTTATCTACCTGAGATGCATTTTTACCTGCTGTCTCTCTGACATTATTTATTCATGCTTCAAACCCCGGATCAAATGTCACTCACTCTAATACATCTTCACGGATCAACCCTTCCCCTCTTAAGGTTGATTATTTATTTATTTAAGTATAATAGACTTTTATTTTTTAGAGCAGTTTTAAGTTCATAGCAAAATTGAGTGCAAAGTACAGAAAGTTCCTTTATAATTCCTACCCTCACATATGTAAAACCTCACCTCCTCCACTATTGACATCCAGTACCAGAGGGTACATTTGTTTACACTTGAGGAACCTACATTGACATATCATTACCATCCCAAATCCATAGTTTCCATTAGTGTCCATTTTTGGTGTAGTACATTCTTTGTATTTTGAAAAGACATAATAATCAGAATAATGTATCCATCACGATAGTGTCATACAGAATAGTTTTGCTGCCCTAAAATTCCTCTATATTCTTTCTATTTGTTCCTCCCTTCCTGCTAACCTCTGCCAGCCACTGATCTTTTACCTTCTCCATAGTTTCTCCTTTCTCCTTTCTCAGATTGTCATACAATTGGAATCATAAAGTAGGTAGCCTTTGAGATTGGCTTCTTTTGCTTGATAATATGCATTTAAGGTTCCTCCATGTCTTTCAGGGTCTGGTGGCTAAATTCTTTTTAGTGCTGAATAGTATTCCATTGTCTACATACACTACGGTGTATTTATCCATGCACTACTTGAGGACATCTTGGTTGCTTCCAAATACTGACAATTAAAAATAAAGCACCTACATCCTGTGAGCATTTTTTGCAGATTATTTTTTAATAAATATATATAATGAGCTGCTACTTTCGGGCAAGCAGTATAGTAGATACTGGAATACATGTGACATCCGCTATTACATCAGTGCAACCTTTGAGAAGATAATGAGAAGTATGGAAGCTCCACGTGAAGCTAGCCATAATAATAACAAATCAGTGAATACAACAACACTTATAACACTGTAGTATATGTGCCAAGACACATTTCCAAGGGCTTGACATGAACACAATGTTTCATTCAATTATGTGACATTCTGAAAACTCATAACATGCATTCATAGATTTTCAAGGAAAAAGAAGGTTTCAAACAGAAGAAACAAAATCAACATTACAAATACCACAGAGAGGTCAAAAAAGAAAATCACTAAGAAACTTTTATTGAATTTTGTGATTGGAAGTTTATTAGTCAACTTAAGAAGAATGCTTAGGGGGCTGATAACAAAAGGCCGGCTGCAGCAGGTTTAGGAGTGAAATAACAAGGAGAAAGGATATAGAAAGGTAACTGTCACAAGAATCTCCTAATAAAATAATTGCAATAAAAACTAAGGGCAGCAAACACTGGTTGGATGCTTACTATTTTCCAGAAACTGTTTCTGTGTGTTAGCTATTATTCCAACCATTTTACATCTAAAAACTGAATTAACCATCACAATAAAACTGTAGATAAATGTTATCGCTTTCCTCAACTGACAGATGTGAAAACCACTGAAAGACAGAGAAGTTGAGTAATTTGCCCTATGTAACACAATTAGTCCCATAGAAGGGAGAATATAACCTCAGACAGTTGACTCAAGAGCCTTATGTCCACTTTGCTATACCAGTTGGCTTATCGTAATAAACATCCCGAGGTAAAAATTGCTCATGCTACTCCACGGACATCCTAATAGAGTCAATTTGAGCATTATCTTCCAGCACGATTACATTGTAATTTTTTTCTCACCTTTTCAACATTTCAAGTAATTGTTTCTGCCTCTTCACCCAACCCCTCAAGAATTTTCCCAAGTAATTTCATTCTAATTTATTTTAGGCCATTTTTCTGCACCATAGATACACTATGTAATCTAATGATACCACCTTTGCTAGTACTATTATAACATCTAACACCACCACTACTGAAATTTTCCTACAGGAAGGTCCCTTTGCTGTTTTAAAAATAAATATCTTATTGAGAGAATCCAATGGGCCTATTTGAAAGTGAATATTTCTATGAAAGAGATTACTTTTATTTGAATCATGCTTCATAAACATTACATTGCATTGTGTTGGGGTCAGCACGGGCTTTGGAGTCAGATCTAATCAAGGTTACCACTTTTTTTTTAAGAGATTTCAGATGGGTCTAACCGAATTTAATGATTTTTGTTTTTGTTTTTTTAAAATATACCATGTATACTTCATATGGAGAGCTAGAAATATCAAAAAGTGTAAATCTCTAAGAATAGGATTTGCAGTTTTTTACAGAATTCAATTTATATTAGATTGAATTATATTAAATGGACTTAAATAAATATGTCTTATTTCTGCTTTCTACCTAGAGCACTCATGGACATTGCCTCAGTGGATCAACACAACAGTCTCACAAGCTGAGTCTTATTTTCCAGATGAAGAAATTGAAGATCATAGGAGTTAAGTGACTTGCTACAATTTGGACGCTAGTGAGTCCCGGTGTTACAGGTATGAGATGGGCAGGAGCGGGTTCTCCCCTCAGTCCACTAGAAAGTCAAGTGATGGTTCTGCAATTATCGCATTTCCTCTCTAAAAGTGATAAATTGGTAGCCGGTGCCAGGGAGAGGCCAGTTCCTGATGGTCCACACCTGTTAACATTAAAGGGTTAATTAAAGGAGACCCCAGGGAGGAAAAACTTTCTGGGCATATACAGTAAGAGAAAAAATGGCGAAGTATGATCTTTGGGGTACATGCCACTGGAAAAAGGGAAAAAAGCCTCAGATGGCCATGTGTATAATTCCTCAAACACACTGCATGTGCTTGCTTCCCAAGGGTAAGGAAAGCACTGTGTATGCGGGATACCCAACCTAAGGGAAGAATCATGGGAAAGACATGAGCCTACAAAGTCCTGGGATCAAGGCCTCCTTTTTGTTGTCTTCTCCTCTCTCTTGGACCTTCAGGTGCCCACTTGGGTTTGTTCCAAGTGAATTTTCCTTTTTTGCCTGTTCTAAAGCTTTTTACATAAATTTCCACTCCTGCTCTGAAACTTACCTTGGTCTCTTTTTCTGCTTTATGCCCCTCAGTCGAATTATTTCTTTTGAGGAGGCAAGGACTGAATATGCTATGGACCTGCATAGATATATCTGCTGCTGATAACTTGGGGTAACACAGGCTGTTCCATTGTTAACACAGGGAACTAGAATCTAACCCTGAATGACTCTTCAAGCAAACAAGGTCAGAGTGAGATTGAATTGTATTGACGATCTCTGAAAAACAAAAGCAAAAACAAACTCTGTCTCTATCCGTATATATATATTTTTATATATACACATACCTATATATAGTATATATGTATACATTCATATTCAAAACATTCAGTTTTATTAATCTTGAATTCAACCCATTATATTTCTATATACACATTTTTCTTTAACTGCATTTCTCTGCCTACTCTAAAATCCATTTTAAAAGAACTGAATAATGCAAACATTTCTGCAAATTACACTTCCCTAAAATTTATATTTATAAAATGTTTTGCAGAAAAATATAGCCCAATTTTTTTTTAATTGAATGCTTATGTCATATACTGTTTCTACAATGTGCTGATACTTCTATGCATTTTAAGACTAATATTAATAAGGCAGTCTCAAATGTACTTTGCCACTCTACACCCTTAATTGTTGATTTGTCCTCACTTGAATAGTCACAGAGGGTTTTTATTCATTAGTTTTAATGTTCATTATTGGCCACTGAAAGAAAATAGATTTTACTTTATTTAAATAAATTAGGATTCTGTATTTTGAGGTTTTCCTCTATTCATTTGATGATGCTCAAATACTTTTCCTTATTATGTAAAGAGTATTGTATATTCTGTTTTTTCCCGTCTCTCATTACTTAAGGAAAGGATTTTCATTGCTAACATAGAGAAAATGTTTATAGATGTGATAGAAATAATGATCGTAAGGTTACCTTATAACAACATAAATTCCACCCAGAGATCCACAAACACTTCATTAATATTATTAATACAATTACGTACAGTTTTCATACCCAGAAAACCATCTAGATTAAAATGCAATCATCTTCATATAGTAATATTACCGATTTGCATTAACCACATTAAAGTTGCATAAATACATGAAACCACATCTTTAACTCATTTCTTGTGTAAAAGGTTTAGAAGTATCCCAAGCTTAAAGGAAAATAATAAATACTGAATAATTGTTCCTTAAATATTTTTCTCACTTCATATCACCCTTATTTTTAAAGGTCTTTAATTTTTTATTTAATTATCTAAATATCTTGAATTACCAAAAACACATCTTTTTCACATTTTTGTTTTTCTCTATACTATGTATTTAAAAGAGCTGTTTCATGGTCACTGTTATCAAACATGCTAATTAGCCCTGTTCTTTTATAGCACTATTTTCCTAGCATTATTTTTTTTCTGGATAGCTCACTAGGGAAGATACTTTGTATCAGATGGATGTGTTTATGCATGATTCCCAGCAGGACTTCTGGAGAGTACATATTAGTTTCTATTTCAAGAAGGGAGCTGATTTAATAGGCAGTGTCATGTTTAAAATTTAAAATTCTGTTTAATTATTAAGATCTGTTTGACACTGTCTGACTGACTTTCACTTTGGGCCCTGTACTATCACAGTGACATATAGTTCTGATTTCAAGGGAATTCTGTTTCATAAAAAAAACTCACTACTAGTCTTTGTAAAAATAGAGAAAGGAACTACCTGTGAGTAAAAAAAACAAAATATAACATGTTTATAGATGTAATAAAAGTAGTAATCTTGGGGGAAGAGGGAAATTAGAAAATGGTCTCCTCTGAACTCATGGCCTAGTGGATAAGTACAAACTGAACCTGGGCTCTGCTCATCTCATCCAGTGTGAAAGAACATGCACTTTCAAATCATATTTCTTTGTTGCAAATGCCTTTATCAAAACCAGGAAAATGATCAGTTTTGTTGTTGTAAAACCTATAATGTTGATTCAAGTGCTCTTTTAAAAAAAAGAAAATAGTTTCATTGCAGGCCATCTTCCATATGATGAGATTCTATTTTCCAATGTTGTTTTGTAAGGTCACATTCTCCCACATAAACAATGTTGTGCACCATCATCAGAATTATGCTGAATTTTAGGTCCAGTGTTACTCATTGTATCATCCTGGGCCAGTTATATCTGTGATCTTGTGTCTCCTGCAAGTGTGGAATAATATGAACCATACGTGGTTACTGTGAAAGTTAACTGAACAGAGTTGGTAAACTACCCAGCACCCGAGTTTGATGTATAAGGCAGAGATAGTCAGGTTCTAACATCAGGAGGCTCACCTGTGGAAATGGGTTCTTGGAAGTCCTTTTCTCTCATATTCTAACAATAATAAAATTGGTTGTTGTCACCATAACCCTCACAACTTAGCACCATTCCTTTTAATATATGTTTTAGTACATATCTTCTGGAGCTAGTTTTTTTACAAATGTCTTTACTATTAACAAGAAGGACAACTTAAGTACACGTAAATTTTTTTAAAAGAGTTTTTTTTTTTTTAATTTTTAAAAAATCCCTTTCTAACTTTCTTTATGCCATTTTCCCATTTTTTTTTTATTCAGAGCGCTGTTACTACTTCAAGTCTGTCACTAAATCTTTTCTTTTTTTTTTCAGATGGAGTCTTGCTCTGTTGCCCAGGCTGGAGTACAGTGGTGCAGTCTTGGCTCACTGCAACCTCCACCCTCCGGTTTCAAGCAATTCTCTGGCCTCAGTCTCCCGAGTAGCTGGGATTACAAGTGTGTGCCACCACGTGCAACTAATTTTTGTATTTTTAGTAGAGATGAGTTTCACCATGTTAGCCAGGCTGGTCTCTAGCTCCTAACCTCTGGTGATCTGCCCGCCTCGGCCTCCCAAAGCACATGAGCCACTGTGCCTGGTCTCTTACTAAAGCTTTCTGAAGAATTCCCTTCCCAAGCACTAGTCTCTAGTGTTTCAAATGATCTCCTTTATTCCTTTTCTCACATCAGCAGAAGCTCCATTCTTTCAAAGAGTTGGTTTCAACTAGGTATTACAAAAAATTCATTTATTGAACTGATTCATGTGAACATATGAATGAGTCTTAAAAAAAAAAACTCATTTGTGGTTACATCAGAAAGAGAAGGAAGCTGTACAAAACAAAAAAAATATATGTTTCATTGATAAACTTTTGGAGACATAACTCAAAAGAAAAAAAAACCACACATTTTCAAAGAGAAATCTTAGGTGAGGGCAAGAAGTGTCACCTTGAATCACGCCGGGAAATCTTTCCCTTCCCTGTAGTATAAAACCCTTAAACACTTTCCACTTTTCAAATTTAATAATAACTATTTTCTAAATAGCTCTGAATGTTTAGTTGCTTTTTTATAAACGGACTCCCACTAGGCAGCCCCAGGAGGTTTCAGAGGTAAAGGAAAGAGATGAAAGACCAGTGCCATTTGTGTGCTTGTGTTGCTTGCAAAGCAGGTGTTCATATACCAAGAAACCCTGCTCAAAATCTATGTAAGATAGCAGTATAATAAACTTAGGAACACGGTGTGCTATAGAAAGCAAAGGCACCATCTAGCATCTCTGGGTTCACAGAGTGTATGTAGCATTTCTTTAAGCTGCTCACTTAAAGATTTCTGGTTTCAGGAAAACGTATTGATTCTCCCACCATAACTCCTAGGTTATCTAAATTGTCCACCCTGTGATTTGGCTAGAAAAATAAGAAACTAAACATCCATTAGTAGAGACAATTCATGAATTTTGTAAAGTTACAAAAAATAATAATTGATACTGTAAACATGGTAAATGGATATTATTACCAGCTCGCACACAATTAGCTTAGTAAATTGGCTTTCAATAAGAGTCTCAACTTTTTTTTTAAATGCTAGGGTTGAATATGACTATAGTTTAACCGTTGCTTTCTTTAATTTTTTTGTCTCTGAAGAGCAACCATACCAGTGAATTGTTGAAACACCATTAATTTGCTTGGCCAAATGTGCATCCTCAACTACCTAATCCAAAATTAGTCAACTAGTAAAAAACAGATGACTTTTACCAGACTGGCATTTTGAGCTGGTGTACAAAGGTGCATAGATTACAGCAATTCATTTAAATTTCCTGGTTCCATGTTAATAGTGCATGTTAATAGTGACGCAGAAACACCCTCTGATACTCACAGTGCGTCAGTCACACTAGAATGCATTCCCTCAGTTCCGGGAGCAAGGCAGCTTTTCAAGGCTGGGCACTAAACAGGGGAGCTTTGTGAGCGCCTAGACTCCTCTGCCGGCCACCTGCTCTTCCTCTCCTTGGCTTCCACATAAGTTGCTTGTTCCAATGATCCTGGCATGTGCTCAATGTCGTTTAGAACAAGATTAATACCGTGAGCTGACACGGCTTTCCTGGCAGCCCCTGTCATGTCTCTTCTCTAACACACTCTACTCACTTCCTATTCTAACATCACTGCTCACATCGCAGGGGGAAAAGGTCTCTCTGTCTTCATGCAACACTTCAGCTGAAAATCGCACAGTTACTGAAAGTTTCACCACTTTTGAGACACATACTATAATAAATAAATCCTGACATGATAGACCTGAGGGGGAATTTAACAATAATATAGAAAGAAATA